ATATTTAAAAAGAAAAGGAAAAAAAAAGCTGCCCAAGAATATGATCTCAAAGGTACACTGCAGGTACAGCTAACCAGAGGTTGTTACACAGCAGCCTCCCTTAGAAAATGTCGACAATGTTCACAAATGACCCATTTGTCAGATGAAGGGAAGGGATCTGAGGAGCGGAGTTGTTTCATGTAAGAATCTAAAAATGCCCAAAGAAAGATGCTCATCATTTGCAACCAGCCTTTTCCCAGGAACAATTCCACACACTGGTATCACGGAGGGAGCATTTTGCACTCTTACTTTACAAGGCTTTGCAAAGCTGCTCCACAGCTCTGCTTAATAATGAGCAGTGGCGTCCTAGGCAGAAGGAACAAGCACTGGGTGCCTGTTCTCGTGCTGCCTGCCACGAAGATTGGAGCACGTATCAGAACCACAGGTCTCCATAAATGCTTCGTATCAGGAAATGAAAATGTGGTGGTTCTATGAGCTCGCCGGCATTCAGAAAACCAGGCATCAGTAGCCACCTCCACAAACTGGCATTTTTCAGTCATTTTCTTGCTTTTATTTCTCAACTTAATTCCATCTTTCACTGCCTCCCTGTTGCTTCCTAAAATAAACCTAACTTTTCATTCTGTTTTCTTTCCACTAATGCTAACTTTAAAGAACACAGAGAATTCTTGGTGGAAGACCACCCCCTGAAGATAGATAATGTATCTCCAGCTTCAGAAAAGAGGCTTTAGAAACCACCACTTTTGGTCAAGCATGGGGGCTCACGCCTGTAATCCCAGCACTTTGGGAGGCCGAGGCAGGTGAATCACAAGGTCAGGAGTTTGAGACCAGCCTGGCCAACACGGTGAAACCCTGTCTCTACTAAAATACAGAAAATTGGCTGAGCATGGTGGCGAACACCTGTAATCCCAGCTACTCAGGAGGCTGAGGCAGAAGAATAGGGTTGAACCTGGGAGACAAAAGGTTGCAGTGAGCCGAGATCACACCACTGTACTCCAGCCCAGGGACTCTGTCTCACTTAAAAAAAAAAAAAAGAAACCACCACTTTTCTTTAAAATAAATAAAAATATTTTAGCTGACTCATACTTAAGACTGTCCACTGCTCTCTAGTCGCATGATAAAATATTTTGTGTTGATCCATGAGAACTATAGAATGAGAAAGAATCATAAGCCTATTTCCTTTTTCATCAGTTAATTTTTAAGTTCATGGCCACCCCCACAGCTATATGAGAATTTCCTGAGGTGAAGTGGCCTCTCTCATTTCATAGACATAGGGACCATTGCCATGGGAAAAGTGGAAACCCTAGAGGCCTGCCTGAAAGGAAATAGTAAAATTTCCACGGGGCATGTTTGAATGTTTGCATGGTACCACCAAGAACAGGCAGCCCAATACTAAACTTCTAGCATTAGCGTGTACATTGTTTCATTATCTTCAAAATATATTATCCTCCTCTGTCACCTAAAAATCTAGCCATTTCCTTTCCCTAACTGACATCCAACTCCACATTCAACTGGTTACTAAACCCTATTCGTTTTCTACCCTTACTTTCTTCAGTCACTCTTCCCTTCTCACCATCATCTCTGCCCTACCCTAGTTAAGCGTAAGAAAATTATTCCAAGCCTGATGATAAGAGTTGATGGGAATGAAAATGACATAGTAGGGCCAGGACAGAGGTAAAGCAAGAGAGCACCTGGGATGCAAAATTTAAGGAGACTCTCATCTGCGGATTTTACAGGTGTAGGGTCCGCTGAGAGTGAGTGCCTCCTTGGGTTTTACAAACTAGGTACTTCTTTTTGCCTCACCCCATCCCCAGCTCTATGATATGTGTTTTTCTATTACTGTTGCCAAAACTTATGTATGCTTGTCCAGACATTACGCATGCTTGTCTAGATATAACAAATTCATCCAGGTGATATACTCAGGCTCAGATGCTGCCACTGGGTGCCTGCATACGTCGAGTATTTTGTCAGTGCCTAGGAATGTTTCTTGAGCAGCCATTTTTCGTTATGGATTTTTTTCCTCTGGCCTGTTACAACCTGATTTCATTTTCTGGTTTTATATCAAGACACCAGCATGTTTTTGTCATCACAGAACACCATTAACACTCTAGGAGTCTCAGTCAGGCAGCCAGCACATGGGAGATTGTTAACTTCAGTATCAAGAGGCAGAAGCATGACAGTGGTGAGAAGGTGGTGATCCATGATGAAAGATACCATGAACAGAAGTGAGGTGGGCCACGGGGTGCTTGTTATTAATGGTAAAGTATTAACACCTGTCAGCGATTCACGTTTTAGATAAATTAAAGCAGAATCAAGGGAATCGCCATAACAACATCTTCACACTCTCTTGAATTCCTGAAGTACTAACATGCTTTCCTCAGTGGAAAAGAAGGGGCTTTATATCTGGCCTTTCCAGCACTGCTTTTACTTTTTTGTTTTGTTTTTATTTATTTATTTTTACTTTAACCTTTTAAACACTACCTATACCTGTGCAAAGTGCCATCATCCATTAAACATGTCCCATTAGGAGTAAAGGCAGAGAATAGCATCTGTGAGTTGAGCTTGGTAAACCCAGGAGGCCCCCGAAAATATGATTTTCTCAAACATTGTCTCTCAAACATCTCTGGAGCACTCCTCTCAGAAATTTCCCTGGAATTATCTGCATGTGTTTGGATCTCTGTCTTGTTGAGGCCTCATGGGCAGATCCTGGGGTGCTTTTCCCTTCCTTCTCATTCAGAAAATCCATATAGGTTTCTCCCTCCCACCAGCTTTTCATCATAGTCCTTGATTAAAAGGATGTCACCTAAGGTCTTTGTTTCTTTTTTCCAGTGGGTTGGCTCTCACCCTCAGGATAAACCCATCTCAAAAGACACTGGACTTTATTGGTCCTCCTGGGTTACCTCCAGTCATCCTCAGCAACAATTCTCCCACTATTGTGTGTACAAACATACATACACACATATTTCAATTTTCCTTTTCTTAACTTTTACGACTCTTTTGATAACAAAGAGTTTATTCAAGGAAACTCTTCCCCGAATTACTGTGATTGCCTCCTAGCTAATCTCCCTACGTCCAGGCCAAATCTCCTCCATTTTTTATTGGAATAGTTATGCCCATGAGAAGTCTTGGTGTTTTGGTCATAGACGTACATGTTCTCCTGGATGTATGATGGCAGAATGGAGAAAGGTAGAAAAGAACCATATAGGCTTGAATATAAACCCAACTCCAGGCCCTCTTCCCCTATGTCACATGAAAATGAAGTAATATCATGCCCTCTGTGTCACACACAGCACAGTGCCTGGCACAGAGATGACTTCTCTCTTCTTTCCTTTGTTATTCAAAGTAAGGACATCTAAGGGTCAGGGAGAAACTGCAATTTCTCTTCACATAATCTTTTTTTTTTTTTTTTTTTTTTAGCATCTCTTAGTACTAGCATTTATCAGTAGGCATCCCCTGATCTTTAAAAAATCTGGGTATTCTGCAAACAGAATTTATCAGTAGGCATCCCCTAATTTTAAAAAAAATCTGGGTATTCTGAAAACAGAGTTTGAATCCTAACTGACTTTATTTTTTACATAGTCCTGTGGAGAGGCAAGGAAGAAAATGAAAAAAAATAAATAAATAACAGAGATGAAAAAGTAATTTCGTCTGATCTCGGAAGCTAAGCAGGGTCAGGCCTGGTTAGTACTTGGATGGGAAAAAGTAATTTCATGAAAGAAAATAAAAAAGGTCATAAAAGAAATACTGTTAGTTAGCCTATGCTTTTCTTTCCTAGTCACCCTGATTTGATTACGGGGTATAATATCAGATGTGAATAACATTCTTTCCCCATTAACTTATATGTTAAGAAGCACAAACACATGGCAGGTTTTCTCTGTTCCTTTAGAAATAAGGTCCAACTTTCATACTTCCAATGGTATTCCAGTTATTTGTTATAATGGAATTTACAAATAACATTTCCCATTATGATCCCCAGGATCATATGAGAAAATAGAGCCTTTCAGCCATAGTAAGTCAATGAGTGCATTCTACCGTACCCAGGAAGGAAATGAAATTATGCAACACAAACATTTCTTTCTTCCCCTATGACTTTTTTTTTAACCTTCTTCCCTTGAAGCTTAAGCAGCATTTTAAAGAGATTTTTGCTGGGTTAAATTTTATTTAGATGGTGGTGATGTTGGAAATTAGAAGAAGTGTTTCTTCTCATGTTAAAATCCTCAGGCTTAAGCATTTATTGTTCTTTCTTGTTATAAAGAAGTGTTCCATGAGTCAACTTGTACTTACATGATTATGATACTGGGGGTCAGAAGAAATTCAAGAAGTTGGAGGATAAATGACTAGTTGGTGACAAGACAGGTTTCCCTTCTCCAGTTTCCACGCACAATGCGATAACATTCAGGCATCCGCTTTGTTGTAGGCAGGAGTTCTTACTTGAATGGGAACCAAAATGATGAATGCCTTTACGCAGAGCTGCTCCTTGCAGAAAATGTGTTATAACCACTCTAACAAATCTCTCTGCATCTGGCCACTCATGGAAATATAACAATGGCTTTGTTATGAAAACTGTATATTTAACACAGAATTTGGTTTTAAGGGATCTTACCTATGCCCCATAGATGGAACTGTTCTACCCAGGGAGCACAGAAGTCTTTTCTTAGTGAATTGTGAAATTGGAGGGCAGATATTCTATTGTTACTGTTGCTGCCTGGTGAGATGGATCAACAGCATCTGGGCTTTCTGATCTATATATGTCAAGCTCAAGTTCCTATTTAAACAGGGAGAATATAGGGGACTGGTTGGGAGGGAGATTGAAGACTGCAGAAATGGTCTCAACCAAATTAATAACTAGGTTTTCAAGCTAATTAATTTATGCTCTTTCTTTATTGGCAGAATATGTAATGTGCTATTTTTCACCTGAGGTCATGTCTCTCTCATGGCTGATTACAATTCCTAGGGGATGCATTCACTTTAAATTGACCTTTTCTTGTATTTTTCTCTTTTAGGTAGCTATAGATTTCACTGCCTCAAATGGGGACCCCAGAAACAGCTGTTCCTTGCATTACATCCACCCTTACCAACCCAATGAGTATCTGAAAGCCTTGGTAGCTGTAGGGGAGATTTGCCAAGACTATGACAGGTAAGAGACTTCAGGGCATTTGGAGCCTTCTCATCTCTCATGTGGGTGAGATGGTCTTTGACTGATCATGGGCAGAAAGTGGAAATTAAGTCAAGTAACTTCTTACGCAGTGGCTGCAAAAGCTTCATCCTCTCCATGCTAGAAAAACTAGCTTTATCCTCTCCATACTAGAAAAACTAAGTTTGTACCTAGCTCACTTTGGTCACCAAACAAAAGCCTTTCTCAGTTTTCTTCTCTTAGTTGGCTTGCAAGACAATTAGATAGCAATTTTGGTTTCCATTTTGTGAAGTCTTAGCATGTGCCTTGCTACTCAAAGTTGTTTGTTCTAGAAACATTCTAGACCTGCTGAATTTGAAACTGCATTTAACAAGCTCCCCAGATGATTTGTGTATACTTTAGAGTTGTAGAAGCACAGGTCTATTAGACATTGCCGCATCTAATCTTCACATTAACCCTTATATAGTGTGTATTCCTTAGAAGAAGGGAATACCGTACAGGTGGTTAAGTAATTTGTGCACTATCACTTAGCCAGAGACAGGACTTGAACCCAGGTCTACCCACTCCAAAGCTTAAGTCTATAATCACTATGCTTCACTGACCTCAAAAGCCATTGGTAACTTCAGCAGAGGGTGTGGTACATGTGTGTAGCCAGATGAGTATGTATGTTTGCATGTGCATGTATAGAAAACGTGATTTAACATCAGATCGATATTCTATGTATTTTTACCTGATGATAAAAATAAGGAGTATCTTACATAAATTACATTAAACTGAATGTATTCTGCCTTTCCAGTAGTTTTAGAATAAATTCAAGGAATTTAGATGTTTTCTTAAGGAAAGCTTTTTGAAGTGAAACCAGTGTAAATATAAATATGTGTAAATCTCAGTTAACTCCCTGGTGTGATTGTAAACCAAAGCTAGTTAGTAATGAGCAGCAACAAATTGACATTTCAGACAAGGAAAATAAAGAAAGCAACTCTGTCCTTTAGGTTTCAGATGAATTTTGTAAGATAGCTTGATTTCTTTTCCTTCTAGTGTCATAATGATATTAAAAATATCATCAAAATGATATTGGTGATAATCATAAAACCTGTTATCCTCCACATCACAGGAAATGACACATTCTCATGACTAGAATGTACAGAGAAACTAATAGAACAGGGTAATGGGAAAGGTGCAGTCAGTCTCCTGCCTGCCTGTGTCTCTGGATTAAGCTTGGTCATCACCAGTAACTCAAATGTAGTGCAAAGGCAGTTCGAGAAAAAACAGGTCCAGTAAAATCAAAAAGCTTTAAACACTCAGGCCCTTGCAGACACTTCCTCTCCTGTACATCTAGGAAATAAGTCAATTATTATTTTAAATTACCTTGTTGGAAAAACACCTCTTATACTTAATCTTGAGGTATTGACAGTGAAAAACTTCCTTGAGTTAACTTGAGATAACTTGAATTTCAACACTGATTTCTTCAAGCCCCAGTGCAGGTGGTGTGGTGGTGGGGGGGTTCCTAGAGAGGTTTGTGTCATATGAGTATTTACACCAGGGAGAGAAAAGATAGGCCAATTGTATCCACTACATTGGAAACGTCTCTAAACTTCCCCAAGACACAAAGCCAATAATTTTCTTCCTTCTTTGTATCAAACACACATTAATAATCTAGTATAATAATGTGTGAATATGTTGAGAGGCAAGAAGCAGGAGAGTATCTTCAGGATTCATAACTTTTCAATCCCAAAATGCTTGCAAAGAAAAAGTAGGTAAATGCACTTAACACATATCTCAAACGGTAGATGCTTAATTAAAAAGTCAACTCTGAATCTGCAGGGAAGAAGGCAGTCTAATAAAGTGCAAAGAGAAGACTGATGGGTTTTCCAGAAATTAAGATACTAGGCCTCAGAGCCCTTACTGCAGCAGATTTAGTGGATAATCGCAAAGAAGCTGCTGAACATCTCCATTTCCTGATTGCCTCACATGCAAAATGCAGACTATAGTCAGAGTGACATGTATATCTTGTAAAGCTTTTATCCCTCTGTGAGCCAGACGAAGTCTGGGGAGCATTTTTTGTTCCCTCAAAAATGCAGATTCAATATAAAAATAAGATATGAGACCTTAGGAGTTACATGAAGAATCATAAATTATTGTTGAAAATGTTTTAATAGAGTAAGATTGACGTTATCATTCCCAACTGGCCAAGAAAATATAGTTTCTACAGCTCAATGGAACAATTATTTTTTCCATATATAGAAAGCAGCTCAACATTAAAATGGGCAAATCCTTAAGGAAGAAAAAGGAGGACTGAAAAACTCCAGTGCTCCTTTAAAGAAGCTCCGTAGAAGAATGTGTATTGCAAGCTGCTCGCTTGAAAACTGACAAGGTTCCGCTGTTTCTCCTTTGTGTGGGTGGATAGACAATAGACAGGCAGAGTCAGGAAATTTCAAGTCGGGGCTCTGGAATTAATTTATTCTCACATCAAAGTCAGTGAGGTTGGTGCTCAAAGAGAAACACTTGAATAAAAACTGACAGAAGGCATTGTTCCCCCTCCTGCAGTGACACAGAGGTTTCTAATCCCCATGAGCCTTAGAAATTCCTCCCAGCCCCTAGCAGCCAAGAGTTTTCTTTCTGCCTTGTACAGTCATTGCTACCAGGTCATTATGAGGTGATCCATGAAGTAGAACAGCTTGAGAGATGGATAAAACTCTTCTCAGAATGGACTTGAAGGGAAGTTTCCGCAGACAGCTGCCTGCCTGCCTGCCTGTTCTATCCTTCAGCCTCTGAAAGAGACGATACTGCACATTCCCTCTGCCTTGACCACCCACCCCAGCATAACTATTTGTGCACACACACAAAAACACACATGCATGCATATGCACACATACACAGACCCTCACAAGTTCAAGTTGTAGCACTTCTCTAGCTTCTGTATCCTGGTCTCCCTAGACAGCTCAAGGGAGACATCTTCTCTTCAGGGCCAGCAGGAATACCAGTCTGTGAAAACCTGACATGTTCTCTAATAAAAAGCATGGCCTATCTGCTGTCAAGACAGTACAGAAACTGACCATGTACATTTCTTGGAAATACCAATTGCCATTTTATAGACGTGTCTACCCCAGAATGAGACAGATTTCAGAAACCAAAGCATGGTTTCTCCATGGTGTGGTGGTTATGGTACAAGGAGACAAAGTTAGAACTGACACCCAATCTGACAGGTATTTTCAAGTGTAAGCACTTGTTTAGGATGAGAAGACAGTTCAAATCACAGTGTTACCTTTTCCACCTATTGTCAGTCAGTGGTTCTCAGCCTTGGCCACACATTGAAGCCATTTGAAAAGCTTTAAAATGTACTGATGCCTGAACCCCACCCCAGAATCTCTGATTAAATTGTTGGTGTACATCCTGTAAATTAGAATTTTTTTATCCAGCTAGGTACCCAGGGTTGAGACCCAGTGTTAAATCGTGAGAGATGGGTCAGATGCAATGGCTAAGGTCCAATGCCGCATCTACTTAAGCACCAAACACCTCATGGGGAGCTGTAAAGACAGAATATTTAATGAAGCACAGTTTTTCCCCAAGTAGCCCACAATCTCATTGAGGAGAAACTTGTGTAAATTATAGCCCAGCATGGCCAGGGAAGTGTTACCTTGTATAGGGATGGGAACTGTATAAAAGTGGGAAGGGCTAACTCTATCCTTTGTGGGAAGAGGGGTGTTCAAGGAGGGAGTTCTGGGGATGATAATTTCTGGGCTGATCAGAATTTGGCCTTCAGATTTGTTGTTACTAGAATGTGGATGGATTTATTCTCCTTATTCTGAATAATTCTACCAGACAAACCTTCTATGAGGACAGAGTCAATGGGGATGATAGAGCATGGGGAACTGGTGACGGGTAGACCTAGATTCAGACCCCAGCTCTGCTACCTTTGTTGTCATAGATTTACATTCTATGGACTTTGGTTTTCTTTATTGTAAATTGAAGATGTATCTCACTTCCCTTGCAGAGCAGTTATAAGGATTAGATATAAAGCAGCTAGTTAACACAGGTTCCATCTCTCATAAATACTCAGTAAATGACAGGGGCTATTATTGTTAATACCCTAGACTTATATTTCAAAAATGATCTGAACACAAAGGGGGATGGAACTATAGAGTCCATTCTAAAGTTCACTTTGGACCAATGATCTTTAAAATATTTTTGCTCACATACTTTTAAAAAGAATTTTATAAAAATGTATAGCTGTCACATTTTTTACTAAAGTCTAACATTTTTTTCATCATGAGTTTATATAGTGACAAAGAATGAAAATACTAGTGTATTGTAAATTTGGACATCTAATAATAAAACTCTTATGTAACTCTTGTGACTGTGTCAAGTAGAATCTAAATGCCATAACTCTTTGATAACCACCATCATCCACTTTGTAAAAAATGAGCAAGCTCTTCAATGTGAGTTGAGAATTGTAATTGTTCCTTCCTTTTCACTAACTTATATTTCCATTCCCTTCCCCTAAGAATTTTATCCTAATATATCTTAATATATTTCGTTTGACATTGTTATGATCACTGTATATTTCTGTAATCAAAATTTAAATTTAAAATTTTTTAGTTTCTAAAAATTTCTAAGATGAAAAAATTTAAAGTAAAGAATATCTGGGTTTTATTACAATTATTACTAGTGCATAATTGATCAAAAGAACATAAACAGAATTTCAGTATAAATTTTTTCTATAAATACCTATCAGAAATCAGCTCTTACTGAAACAGACAATGGGTCATTTTTCCAATTAGTATATAGAGCTTCTGATAAGTGCTACCCAGTGCTAGAATGGGAGAGTCGAGCATCGATTCTAACTCAATTTTTTGCTCTTATCAATGTAAATTCTAAGAAAACATGTTCTTATAAATAAGTATATGAAAATAAGTAATTTGACTAGCAGTATTACTCAATTCTTTCAAGTTATATACCAAAAAAGTTACATAATGGCCAATCATCAAAATGTTTTCTTCAATGATCTACCAGCTGACATCAGCACTTGCCAAAATTTATTTAAAGCAAAACTTGGCAACTACCTGACTTGCAAAAGGATGTTTTTTCCTAGTGAAACATTCACATTTAGAATTATTCTTGTCTATGTTGCTACAGAGTTTTTACACTCTGGAGCAATGGACTATGATGGTTAAGATTCAGAATACGTAAAAAAGAAGGATAAGTGAAAGGAAAGGTATGAATGGAGAACAGGTCTCTCCATCACAGGCATTCCCAGAAGATCAGTTTCAGCAAAAAATACATATGGATGAGGAGGACCTGAATACTGATTTCCCTTTAAAAAAAAAAAAAAGTCATGTTCTCATATCCCCAGAAGTGCTTTGCATTTCCAGGTATCCCAGTTTTAAGACCTCTGCTTTAGAGAACAGTTTTCATTAAACGTCTAAGTGCTCTGAAATGCCATATTGCTCTGAATTTCATTTCCTTGTGGATATAGTAATTTTTCTTTATGTTTATTAATGTTTTGATTAATCTTAATATCTTCCTGAGCAAAAAGAGAAAATAGTGGTTAAAAATCAATCTTCCCTCTGAAGGTCATTTGACAATAGTCATTCCCTAAAAAGGTCAGGACAGCTTATTCATTACCACTGAAGAAATTGGGCTTTTTTATTGTGTATTATACTATTTTATTCTGTTTATAAGAAATATTGCCTTTACCCATGTGGTAACAGACCCCTACTTTTCCAGATTGTCCATCTTTGCCAATCATTTTCCCATCAGTTGCTAAATGGCCCTTTGCTGGGTGCTGAGTGGATCCAATCTTGAGTTCTTAAAGTGTTAGGATACACTTTCTTTTGTGCTCAACTTGCCTTCTTTTGCTTGTTGTATAAGAAGACTCTTCTCTGCCTAGTTTTATTTTAAAACAGAAATAATGGATGTTCAAATCCATTGTACTTAGGCTTAAAGCTTTTTCTTTAGAATGTTTATTAGTTGGAGGCTTTCTGGTGGCTAAGTTCAGACAATTTATCCCTCCTGGTTCATTAATTATTCCCCTTGTAGGTGAGGCATTTTCCCTACCTTCCTACTCTTGAAACTTAATTACATAACAGTGCATCATGCTCAGCAAACTTTGAATCCCCAAGGGTGGCTTAGAAAGTATAAAAGGAATATCATTAACGCTACAACACCATAGGGATTAGAAATGGATGGATATTAGAGCTTGCCCCTCCTAAACTCATCAAAAAAAAAAAAAGAAAGAAAGAAAGAAAAGAAAAGAATGAATGTTGAGACTCCCAGTTTCTCTATTTTGACTTCTGAGTCATCTTCGAGACCATGATCCATCCTCCACCCAGGAAAGCCTCATTTCAGACTTAACTAGAAAGTACCCTAAAATCCCCCTCACAGATCTCTTCTCACACCGCCCATGCTTGTTTTGTTTAAGGAGGAATTGCTGAGACAAAGTATTTTAGTATGTCCAAGGACCAGAAGCATATTTTCTCCTACCTGTAGCTAATCCTTCATAAGCTGTGTTGAGTCTCTATTTACCCACATCAATGCCTTCTCTAATACCTGGAGACGCAATGCACCACAAAGCCTGAATTGACCCAACAGTGAGGAGAAACGGGAGTTGGTGATTTTTCTAGAGAATGTACACTTTGATTTCAAAGAATTCTGCCTTCCTTTTTTCTCCCAACCCCTAACCTCAAATTTGATCCAGTGGACTATGTTTTGGTAAAGTTTTGTCAAAACCATCATTGGCTAGTAATGGCCTCTAAGTCGGTTAGGTGGCGATAAGGGAGAATCTGGCTTTGCTGCTTTGACTTCTCTGTCAGCCTGTGGATTGGTGGGGCTCATCCCCTTTTGCTTACAGACGTTTAGAACAGTGAGCCTTAACCTGAATTGACTGAATATACCAAGAACAGAGAAATGAAGAAAATGTAAAACGAATCTCAGTTATGTTCTTAATGGGAGAAGAAATAAAAGGTAGATAACATGAGAAGGACATACCTTTGCCAAGAGCCCTGTGGCAATAGCCACCTGACAGCACAGTATTTGATTAAAGAGGATCTTATTTGTTGTCTAGTCAGGGGGACAGATTACTGGAAGTAACAGTAGGAAATCACGTTTAATACTATACAAAATCATTAAATTATAATGGCATAACAGAAAAGGCATGGGCTTTGAAATCACATAATTTTCCTTGGTAATCACCACAGGCCATGTAGCCTTTCTGAGGTTTTATTTACCTGTAAAATGGGAATAATAAGTAGGTGAAGCTTCCAGGATTGTGTGAGAATTTAGTAAGTATGTACATCATTTATCAGGGGCTTTGTCCATTGTATGCATCAACAAATGATAATTATTCTCATCCCCATTCTATCAACCATAGTACAATAAAGTTAGAGTTACAATCTAAAATATGTGAATGAATAATTAAGAGAGAAACTCCAGTGTGCATAAGATAACTCAAACCAAAAACTATATAAGTGACTCTTGGGTTTTCACGAGAATTCTCCCTTCTTTTCATAGAATGTGGCTACATTTTCATAATTAAAATTCATGGATTATGTATTCATTAACTATTTATTCAGCACACATTCTATGACAAGTACTATAATAAAGGATAGGGCAGGGGGCAGTTGAGACAGAGGAAAGTGGAGATATAAAGATTTTAATACAAAAGACAGGGTCTCTTTGAGTTCAAAAAACAAGACATGTAAACAGCTTATCACTGCATGTGATGAGGTGATGGGCACAATGAGTCATGTAAAGGGACAGGCTCTGTCAAATTAGCCAATCTTACAAGCTTTCTGCTGCTTTATTTTTGTTTTTATTTTGAGATGGAGTCTTGCTCTGTTGCACAGGCTGGAGTGCAGTGGCGCCATCATGGCTCACTGCAACCTCCACCTTAGGGGTCAAACAATTCTTATGCCTCAGCCTCCCAAGTAGCTGAGATCACAGGAGTGTGCCATCATGCCTGGCTAATTGTTGTATTTTTATTAGAGATGGGATTTCTCCATGTTGGCCGGTCTGGTCTTGAACTCTGGGCTTCAAGTGATCTACCCACCTCGGCCTCCTAAAGTTCTAGAATTACAGGCATGAGCCACTGCACCTGGCCCCATTGCTTTGTAATATCCACTTAGATTCAGTCTTGTCTGTATTTGAACTCTAGCTGTAATTAGCAGCATGATCTTAGGCAAGTCACTTTACCTTTCAAGGCATTTCCTCACCTGTAGAAGAGGAATAACAATCTCTCACTGTAAGTATTTTAAAAGATAATACATATAAAATGTTCTAACACAGTCACCTAGTTACCTAGTTCATGGTCCCTTTTCAAAAAAAACAGAAAGTTGGAGTGGGGGGGGCCATTGGTGAAACTGTAGAGCCAGTTTCTTTCGTATAGAATCTAGCAAAATAATTAAGGAAGAAGTTGTAGACTAATAACTGTGATGAACTTAGGGGGTTATTTCTTGATTGCAATTATCTATGCTATTGCTACCCCTCATCACCACGGATAATCAAGAAGCATGAGTCAGCACTGGCGTAGCAACATGGCCTAGCAAGGAAATGCAGGTTTATGTTTTTCTTCCTCATTAAATGAATAAATGAAGCAACTTCTTTTTTCTTTTTTTCATTTTGGTTTCAGTGATAAAATGTTCCCTGCTTTTGGGTTTGGCGCCAGGATACCTCCAGAGTACACGGTGAGTGAGTAAAGATGACATCTTCTTTCACTTTGCTTTGGTCAAAGGATAACTTGGGTTTTCTTTGCAGCAGCCTCACTCTCTTGACTCTAACATAACCATGTCAGTAGGACCAAAAGAGTCAGAAATGGTCTTTGGAATCAGTGAGATTAACTCCCCAGAACCTGTCTCTTGATGAAACCCTATCTCCTGGTATTTTGGATGGATCTTCTCAGAGGTCCAGATGAAGAATTTGATGGTTTCGTTTCTTAAAAATGTGATCATGGTCTGAGGAAACACTCAGGAAATTGATCTCCAGGGGCTCAGAATCTATCCATTCATATATCCCCTGGGAAACAGAATTCTATTGGCAATGCCAACTGGGAAAGTCCATGACAGTGGAGTCTACAAGATTCCTTATCCCAACACTTCTAGTCCAAATCTGGTATGGGAGACACAGAAAAGTTGTGAAGAAAGAACTATTATGACTTAGAGAATTGGGAAGCTGAAATGTTCTTATGATGACATTGGAATTCTATTTGTTTTTGATAATGATTTCTCGTGACAGAAAAAAGTCAAAGATTGTGTGTAGATAAATTTGCATTGTGATGAGGCTAAGACACTACTGTGATATTCTAGATGCTCCTATAGGACATTCTCCACAGAGAACTCATGCTCACTAGGTGGGGAGGGCCTTGGAGAAACAGCAGGGTACCTGCCCAGCCTCCACCTTACCAGTGCTTCTGAGGCCTGAGCTAAGTACAAACCACACCACCCAATCCTGAATTTCTCTTTTGCTAGCTGCATCTGAGCCACAGGTCAAGAGGTAGATGCTGACATTTGCTACCTCACTAGAGACATCACATAAGGGCTTTCCCCTTATGTGTCCTTTTTGAAAGAGGAAATCAATCTCCCTGTCACTCCTAGAGTGAACAGTGGACGGAATGGCATGTCTCCAAGACCTGTTCTCTTTCTTTTTTGCCTTGTATTCCACACTGGCCTTCCTGCTGGGCATAGCTACATAATTCTAGAAGCATTTATTGGAAACAGAGCTTGTGGCGAGAAAGAATATAGAACAAGAGTTATTGACTGGTGGCCTTTAGACATTACACAGGCCACAAATGTATTATATTTGACACACTTTTAAAAGACCAATTCAGCAATTTCATATGAAATGTCAGATTTCTGGCTTCTCTTGAAAACCTGAAAGGCCTGGCAACACTAAGATTAAAAAATAATCTATACAAGAATAAGCTGGAGCTGAGGAGATATAGATCCCTTCAAATCTGGAATGTAAACAGGTGAGTGTCCACTTTCTTAGAGCTGCTGACTACCCAGGGATTCTTGAGTTTTTATCACATCCCCACCAGGTGGTCTCCCAGCCTCAAGTTGGCCCAACAGGGCTGAGGGGAGAACTGTGCAGCATACCTTTTTCTCATTAACAACATCTTCCTGGTTCCTTTCCTGGAGTAACTTTGGCTGTGTGCTGAAGTCCCCTTGCTCACTTGATCTCCTAACTCCATCCTTCCTGTCAGCAAAATCCCCTGGCTTTTCCTGTTTCAATAGGCATCTCTCATATTTCCCCATTTCTGGTCCCCAAATATATTTAAATACCCCTTTTCCATGCCTAATTTTCCCCTTTTCTCGACAAGCACTGATGATTTGTGCAGCTCAGGTGTCCCCGGAGAGTTTACAAGGTTGCCACAATTTACTTCTTAGGACAAAATCTCAGAGTATGCATTAAAACTGAAACACAAGCACCTCTGTCTTAGTTTGTACTTTCTCAGAAAAGGATCTTGAGATAAGGATTTGGATGTAAGTAGTTTATTTGAAAGGTAGAGGAAACCTCAATAGAGGTTGGTAAGTGGAAGTCAGCAGAGAGTATATCATCAAGTCAGTTACTGCTGTTGGCAACTAGTGCTTAACTCTGCTCAAGAACCCTAGGGGACAATGTACAGCACAGACCCCAAGGGATAAGGGAGCTGGGGTATGTATACATCATCTCCTGTTAATTGCTGATTACTCTTGACAGTCACTTTTAGCTTGTCACTTGGGCAAGCAAGGTAGTCCCTGAAGACCAGAAAAAAACTTAAAGCCAATAAGATGATTGAAAGTCAACTGGCTTACCTGGAACTGCTAAGAGAAAAGAAATACAAGGTTAGCACCAAGAGAATCACTAATCACCTCCCACAAAGAAAGGAGATGTCTTTTAACATAGGGACCTATTTTACAGATATCCAAAAGAGTCAGAGCTTGGAAATGTCCTTTGAAATGGAATTCTCCATAAAATACCAGATGATTCAATAAAAATGTCCAGATGCCAGAACATCCATCTTGTTTTATCAGGTTTTTGGAAAGAAAAAAGTAAACAATATGTTATTTGACCTGGTGCATAGGTTCTGCCAGGTAGAGGAATTTGTACTGGAAGATTACAAGGTATATTATTTTATTATGTTTCCAAAAGTAGAATGCAGTCTGTTTGACCTGTACACATGTGAAAATCCTACTGCACTGTAGTTCTGCATATCATGTTAATAATCCTTAAGTGTCATCTACTTAGCTGAAACCTTTATAACCATCGCTGTGTTGAGCAGACAGCTTGAGTTATTGAGTTTTTGTTTTTGTTTTATTGTTGTTGTTGTTGTTTTTAATCACTGGATCCAAATAGAGCTCTGCCAAATCTAACCCTCCAGTCTGTGGCCAGTTCTATCTAGCAGTTATTTGAAGTTATCTTTCTGAAATCTTTTCTTGGAGTTTTTAAAAGCCTGACTCTCCCCTTCTGACAGCATTTATCTGATTCTAGAAAATCTTCCTGTCACCTCAACTCCACAGGGAGCTTAGAATTCACCCTCCATCTCAGATTGACTGTGTAAAGGCTTGAAATGGTTCCTACTGCTTAAGACATAATGAATGTAATGGGCATTTGTTTGCAAACTCTAAACCCCAGTGCCTTCTTACTGGATTAAAGTTGTAATTCTCCTTTCTTCCTGTTTTTTAAATTTTAATTGGTGTCTAGGTCTCTCATGACTTTGCAATCAACTTTAATGAAGACAACCCAGAATGTGCAGGTAAAGCAAAACATGGGAAAAAGCCGGTGTCACAGTCCTTCCCTTCGCACCTTTCCCCTTTTAGTTTCTCTCCACTGGTGTCGCATGTGAGTTACAATTGTCCACAGCAGAGAAGCAGGCTTTCTGGATCCACATAAACCATGCTACTCCAAAGGCAAGAGAGAGACATGATAACATAACAGAGCAGGAAAATAAGAACTGGAAAAGACAGAATGCAGAAGAGGTCTTGAGTTGACAGCAATAATATCGATCCCAATCCAGGGATAATAGTAATAAAGGAAACTTCACTAGTAGGCAGTGATGCAATATCCCTCTTTCCGCTTTTCAAATTTTCATCTACACCTTCATCTCTGAGCAGGTATAAGGAGAGGGGTAAACGTGGAAATCATTTCCCACTTTCAGCATACTAGCCAAGGACATGGCCTCAGTGAGTTTGAACAAGTAGCATTGCGGCTTTGTGCCGGTGAAAGCCTGCTCAAAAGTTCTGGTTCACATTCCATTGTTTCCAGCCACAATTCTCCAACGCATTTTCACAAAATAATGATGCTGCAACTATGGTGATATTTATTACAATAAATTTTGTTCTAGAATGATTTTTTTCTGTTTTCTAAGTAACAGAGCCAAATACGTATGTTACAATGAAGATCATAAGACATTCTTTGTACTAGAAATATTCCTCTCTCTCTCTTCCTTCTTGTCAAGGAGGAAGGAGGCTAAATCAGGATTCATTCAGATCCAGTAGAGTATATAAGGCATCTAGCAGTTAATGGCCAAGAATATAGTATCAATACCACTGAGTCTGAACATGGTAACCTCCAAGACCCAATCTCCATTTCTCCATTTTTTCCACTAATGTATTCTCCACCCTCAATTTATTATGGTTTAGAATTTCCTCATGCCCAACTTCCCCCATTCTGAAACAATAAGAGTGGTTTCCCCTGCAGCAGAATGAAATATAAACCCTGTTATTCACTTATTTCATACTTTTAGAATTCATCTGCCTGATATTTCTGAGGAAATCAAACTTGCTTATCATAGGCAAAAACTTAAGAACCAAAAAAAAGATTCTATTCAGCATCATTTAACTTCAGAACCAGACTGCAAAATGACTTGGCATCTGTCTTTAGAATGATAGATTTTGGGGCAAGGCCAAGTGGGTGCAGAATTGTCAATGAGATTGGAAGCATGTATGTAAGAGCAGAATAGAACAGAACTTGCTCATCCAAAATACCCAAGAGCAATTTTGCAGTGCATGGTGGTTATGGAGAACAATCTCAGAAGGGGATTGTGTGGATCCCTCTGGCCAAATAGGACTACCGTGCTGTTTCAGAATAGAAAGGGATAGAAGGATGAGCTGAATTTCTGGATGCAGTGGCTCATGCCTGTAATCCCAGTACTTTGGGAGGCCGAGGTGGGCAGACTAAGAGGTCAAGAGATTGAGACCATCCTGGCCAACATGGTGAAACCCCATCTCTACTAAAAATATAAAAATTAGCTGGGTGTGGTGATATGCACCTATAGTCCCAGCTACTTGGGAGGCTGAGGCAGGAGAATCGCTTGAACCCGGGGGGAGGAGGTTGCAGTGAGTCAAGATGATGCTATTGCACTCCAGCCTGGCAACTGAGCAAGACTCCATCTCAAAAAAAAAAAAAAAAAAAAAAAAGAGCTAAAATAGGGGAAGACAAAAGATAACAGGCACAGACAAGAGGAGCCATCTGAATAAAAATCATTTGTAATGTGTAATGAGATTATTACTGTGGGCTTAGAATGGTAACATGAAATGTACAGTCAAGATGTATCAAGTGCTGTAATAAGCTGCACAGATAGAACTGCCTCTCCTAGCAGAGTCCCATCCTTTTCTATTTCCTGGGCTCATATGGCCTCAAAATGGAAGCCCCCTTCAAAGGAGGGGTTGTCCCTGAGGATAACCATCACTCATCTGTCCTCAGCTCCCAGGAGATAAGTATATCAGCCACTCTGCTAATTCATCACACACTTGGTGAGTGCTCGATAGTGCCTCAACCTCTTTGGGGAAATACAAAAAAATAAGTAAGTCACGATTCCTGCCCGCAGAGAGTATAACGTCTGGAGAGATGGTCATGGGAACTCCTGACTGTTATAGGGGCACAGGCAGTATCTAATAGAGGCAACGAGATGGTGTGGGAAAAGTGCAGCACTGAAGCCGGCTTGCTCGTGGGTAAGAACACAGTGCTTAGAGCCAGGCAAACCCAAGTTTAAATCCCGAGTCTTAAATACACTTGCTGTGTGACCCAGGGCAGATCATTTAACAGATCTAAGCCTCTGTTTTTTCACTTATAAAATGGGTATAACATCTATTTCATTATGCCATGAGGATTGAATGAATTCTTATGTATAACGCGGGATATTAGAAAAAGTTTTGTGGAAATTATTTCATTTGACTTCAGCTTTTAAAGAAAAGAATGATTTCAGTGGGGAAGGAGGCAGCAACACTAGCGATGTAGTGTTCCTTTTTATCTTAAGAACATAAATGTGAGTTGATAAGGACTATTTGGGAAAGGTAGTGCTTTACCTTTGTGTGTGGGTTGGCTATGAATCTATTTGGAGGGAGTCTGGAACTGTTGATCTTTGCCAATTTCACCTCAGGAATTCAAGGAGTTGTGGAAGCCTATCAGAGCTGTCTTCCTAAGCTCCAACTCTACGGTCCCACCAACATAGCCCCCATTATCCAGAAGGTTGCCAAGTCAGCGTCAGAGGAAACTAACACCAAGGAGGCATCGGTAAGAAGGGGGCTATTTACCTCCTAAAGGGAGCTCATTCTTCCTCATCTGGATATTGGCCAACACACCCATCTCACTCTGACAATAAATTCCAATGTTTCTACCTGTGTGAATTTGAACAAGTGACTTAACCTCCCCCTAGTCTCAGTCTTGCCATCTAAAACATGGGGACAATCAAAACCATCTTTGCTGGGTTGTGAGGCTGAGAGAGGACACATGTCAAATGTCTACCACGTTGTCTGAACACAAAAGCGACTTAACAATGGAAGCTACTATATTCGCTAAAGTGTGTCATACCCACCTCCTGTCCTTGGAAAGAAAAAAAAAAGTTTTAAAAATAAGCTTGTTTTTCAAGGTACCCATACTGCAGATGGAAGCAAAGCACCAAGGAAGTAAAACAATGGATGATTCTGCCTCCTGGTGGTGAAGCGCAACAGCACAAAACATCACAGCAAAAATTTGTTTCACATTCTATTGCTTTTCTTAAGAAAAATGCAAACCAAGACCAGAGTTTGAGTTTTGCCTCTAATCTTCTAGAAGTAAATATATTACCATCATGACTTCTGTATTTATTTTAATAACATGAATACATGTGTTTTTAGCTTTATGATTTTTTTCAGATTTAGTAGAATATTACCAAGGTCTGAACTTTGCTCTGTAATTTTATCCTGGGTACTGAGTTTTTATTTAAAAAAACACTACTCCACTATATTCTGACATCAGTTCACCTAACCTCTTGCACTATATGCATGTTCTCGGCCTTTCTTCATGTTAGAATAGCTGGAGGACTGTGCTCCTACCTCACATCACCATCTTCTTCTGTGTACTTGAGCACATCTCTTGAATTACCTAGGAACTTCGATTCTGCAGTTATATTTTTGCTCTTTCTCCTATCATCTATTGTTCTCCTTTCTATCTATTGTTCTCCTTTGTACTGAAGACTCATTCCCATTACACTCATTCTATAATATCTCCAGTCTTAAGTTAAAATCTCCCCCTTGACTCTGCTTTACCCTTTAGCTACTTCCTTAACTTTTTTCCACTTACAATCTGCACTCCACGCAGAAACCAGATTAGTCTTTTAAAAATGTAATTAGTATCACATCATTCCTTTGTTCTGAATCCTCCAATACTTCTTATCATACTTGGAGTAAAAACTAAATTCCCTGATGTAACTTAGAAGACGCTATAGGGTCTAATCTCTGCCTACCTCTCTGATCTTAATCCTTATCAGTTTCTCTTTTGCTCCCTAGATTTCAGCCGCACTGACCTCCTTGCTGTTCCACAAAGGCACCAAATATATTCCCACCTCCAGGCCTTTTCACTTACTGTTCCCCTGCCAGGGTTTCTCTCACCCAAACCTCCATATGATCCATTCTCTGACTGTGTTAACATCTCTACTCAACTCTCAACTCCTCTGAAAGTTCCCCCTGGTTACCTTATCTAAAATTCCCCCTGGTTACCTTATCTAAAATAGCCAACCCACCCACCCACACCATGTCTCAGCTTTACTTTCTTCTTAGTAGTTATCATCATCTGAAATACTTTAGGTGCATCTACTAACTTTATGTCTCTCTACTTTCTTTTTTTTTTTTTTTTTTTTTTTTTGAGATAGAGTCTTGCTCTGTCACCCAGGCTGGAGTGCGTGGGGCAATCTTGGCTCACTGCAACCTCTGCCTCCCAGGTTCAAGTGATTCTCCTGGCTCAGTCTCCCAAATAACTGGGATTACAGATGCCCACCACCACACCCAGCTAATTTTTGCATTTTTAATAGAGACATAGTTTCACCATGTCAGCCAGGCTAGTCTCAAACTCCTGGCCTCGTGATCTGCCCGCCTCGGCCTCCCAAAGTGCTGGGATTACAGGCATGAGCCACTGCATCCAGCCGTGTCTCTCTATTTTATATGGAAACTTTACAATAAGAAGACTTGTTCACTAGTATATCCCTAACACACAAAACAGTGCATGCACATAGTGCACACTCAATAAATACTTATTTAAAAAATGCATATGAAACCACTCTATTTTTCGTATGTATATGATGAAAAATGCTTTAAATTTTCTTTTGTAAAATTGGTGTATATCTTAAATATTGCACATCTTATACACCAGAAAATAAAGTATTCCTGTTTTAATTATAATTTGAAGTCTCTTCTACTTGAAAAGATCAGACTTCCCAAGGTCTCTGGAGAGAATGACAGTCACTGCATGCCTTTGGTTCAGTCCACTGGCCCTTCCCTGCATTTCATTATCATCTTCAGCTCCTCTGGGCTTGATTCTGGTACATTCTATACTCCTTCCCTCCTTCCCCATACCACCAGTGTTGCCTCTTTCTGCCTCTTGTCTCTGCACCTTCCTGCCTCCTTCATCACTTCATCCTACTGAGATCCTTCTCTAAACTCTCAAGCCAACTTCCTGGGAACATATAAAACTCAGAAAGTATAGACATCAATGGAAATATACAACTTGAATGAATCTTCAAACCAAACTGGGGTTTCAGCTAGGACTAGGGGTGAGTGGTTAGTTAATGGACATGGAACAGAATTGGCCTTTACATTAGACTGTATGAAAAGCATTCAGAACATGTGGCTATCTTCATAATAGCATGAAGTTCACCTGTCTCCAGCTCATATTTTTTTTTTTGTTTAAAACATTTTTTCAGGCTCATAGAAAAAAAAAATGAGTGACACTCTTTAGCATGACACAACTACTTGCAACCTTAAGTATATGAGTCTCAAAACGAGATGTTTTCAAAATGTCACTCTTCCATCCAGTCTTTCTCCTTTGAAATATGGCAACTCGGAATGGCTTAATCTCACATCCCCATAAATGTTGGGCATCTGGAAGGATTATGTTGAAAGTTCTTTTCTGTTTAGCCTGAGCTACATCTGACTAATCTGCTTCTCTCTCCTCTTACCAGTAAAGGCCACCATGGTCCCCCTCATGTTGACTAACAACAGTGATGACCTCCAATGGGTCATCATTCTCCACACCCCAAAGCACTTCCCAAGGCTTCCCTCTGCTGCTGAGTATAGCACCTTTCCTCCAAGTCCCATCTCAGCTGAGTCATCTTCCAGCTTTCCAGGTGGAAAGGGGCCAGACAGGCTGCAGGCAGAAGTCAGGACTTAAAGCAGGAAGCCACAGGAGCACTGCGAGCTTCTGCAAGAATGCCTGGAGAAGGGCTGCCACTTTCGTGGCACATGGTCTTCAGAGGGAGAGACTGCACCCTGACTGTCTTATAGCAGGACTTTAGACGAGTGCCATCCAGTGGAAATATAACACCAGTTATGTACACAATTTTAAATTCTTCAGTAACTGCGTTTTAAAAAGTAAAAAACCGAGAAAGCCATTTTAATTATATATTTTATTTAACCCAATATGACCAAAATATTGCCATTTTAGCATGTATTCCATATAAAAATTATTAATGAAATCATCTGCATTCTATTTTGTGGGCTAAGTCTTCAAAACCTACATGTATTTTATACTTACAGCGTCTCAACTTGGATGCTAAGTTTTCATCATAAAGACTTGATCTTTGTTTAGATTTCATAGATAGTTGAAAAAGTAGATTCATGTACTTAAGTTGTTCCAAATATACTTAAAATGTTTCTAATAACTGAATTGGTTATCCATTTTTAACGTTAAATTTAAACTCATTACAATTAAATAAAATATAAAATTGAGTTCCTCACTTGCTCAAGCCACATTTCCAAGGGCTGAGTAGTCTCATGGGACTAGCCGTCATTGTATTGGATGTACAGCTTTAGATTTTTAAATATCTTCAAGCAAAGGGAATTATCTAAATTGTTGAGTCCCAGCCCCACTTTGAGAAATGAAGAGGCTGAGACACAGAGGAATTAAGGGGTTGTCCCAGGTTCTCACAGGATGAAGCTCTGAAGCCAGTCCTCCTAACTCTTGGTCTGCTGCTCTTTCTTTGTAACTGTGAGTCAGGTACTTATTATAATTAAGTTATAATTACTGTGCCTACCTTTAAGCTCCATTCACCAAAAACCTAAGCCTTTAGGACTGTCAGCACAGAAGCTCAAAAAATGTCTGTCAGCACTGTTGCTTTGCTCAGTGGGCAGTGAAGCTACCTGTGTGTCTAACTGGTATTGTATTGTCCCTTGTCTTCCCTCACCTCTTCATCCCCTGTCGTCATTGGGCATCATGTGACTGCAGCAATACTTCATCCTGCTGATCCTGACAGACGGTGTCATCACAGACATGGCCGATACCCGGGAGGCCATTGTCCACGCCTCCCACCTCCCCATGTCAGTCATCATCGTGGGAGTCGGAAACGCCGACTTCAGTGACATGCAGATGCTGGACGGTGATGATGGGATTCTGAGGTCACCCAAGGGAGAGCCTGTTCTTCGAGACATCGTCCAGTTCGTGCCCTTCAGGAACTTCAAACACGTATGCATATACATACTGGGGCACTTTCCATGGAAGAGCAGAACCAAAGCATGCTCACCTTCCACATTTGTCCACCAATGTTTATAGTGATCTACCTATTCTTGAAGCAACACCAGCTATGTTCTACATAGCCCTGCTGTGGGAGATGGCCTGGCTTAGCTATCCCTTCCTGGGCAATGTCAGCTCCCACAACGAGGATATGTAGAGCATGACTCTTTCAAGAAAAAAAATTATAAATTGAGTTATAGACCAGGAGTCATGCTAACTATTGTAGGCAAAGTTTCACTGATGCTTGCCCTATAATTCATATAATTTAGGATCTCTAGTGCACCCAGGACTGGCATATACAGTTGAGCAGCTTGTTCCCTGCCCAGAGGTACCTACCCGAAGTACCAAGGAGAAGCTGAAAAGCAGCCTGTGTTTTGCTTATCAAGCCATGTGCCCTGGCAGAAATCTGTGTTTGCCTTGGCAAAGTATATTTCCAAAATGATAGAAACCTAAATCCTCATCCTCTATAAAAATATAGTAAGCGGCATCAAAGGTTTATTTAACCCCTTCAAAACAAGATAATAAAATTAGTTCAAAAGAGTTTATAAGGCTGGGTGCGGTGGCTCACCCTTATAATCCCAGCACTTTGGAAGGCCAAGGCAAGTGGATCACCTGAGTTCAGGAGTTCAAGGCCAGCCTGGCCAATATGGTGAAACTCCATCTCTACTAAAAATACAAAAATTAGCCGGGTATGGTGGCAGATGCCTTAATCCCAGCTACTTGGGAGGCTGAGGCAGGGGAATCTCTTGAACCGGGGAGGCAGAGGTTGCAGTGAGCCAAGATTGCACCACTGCACTCCAGCCTGGATGACGAGAGTGACTCCATCTAAAAAAAAAAAAAAGAGTATATAAGCCAGTTAAAGTGCTGAATAAGTTGGCTAAGGTAGATTGAAAACTGATTAATGACCAAGAAGGTTAAAAAGAAAGTAATCCTTGAATTGGGACAGAAATAGTTTGCATGCTATCACTTTTCTATAAATTAACACCTAACTTTAGTCTTGGGCTCATATCAATAAGAAATAGTAAGTCAGTTAAGCAGCATTACATTCCCCAAGAACCTTGAGGCTGAACCATTAGATAATGCTCCAGTATGACATGGAAAAAATGCTCAGTGACAATTTTTTCACATTCCCAAGTTTTGATATATTGTGTTCATGGAGGAAGGAGAACTTTTTTAATTTCCATAAACCCCTGCACCTACTGAGCTATAATCACCCAGAAGGACATCTTGAATTCATAGAGGCTTCCTCAGGGCTAATGGCAGTCCTGAAGACCCCTCTAGAGTATCCTAACTGTGTCTTGGCATCTGTGGGGGTAACTTGGGTATTCCTGGATAGCATTTGTGTTTTTTGTTTTGTGCTTCTTGTGAAAGCCACCCAAAAGCAGAGCATATGCCCAGCTCCTGCTTTCCTCTGAGGCCTCGCCCTCTGCACTGCTGCAGATGCCAACAATACCACTCACTGGGGCAGGTGACTAAACTTGAGCTGCCCTGGCAGGAGGGAATCTCCAGAATCTTCAGTACCCTGAAGCTTATATCCACAGTCTCCTTGGAAAAGAAGAGAATCCTCTCCTTTCCATGCTACAGAGTCCCCTCTGTCACTTGAGCCATTAATGCAGTGAAGTCTGTGTCTCCACATCGTAAGGATCCCTGCTGGAAAACATCTTTATTAGCTTCCACTGCAGTCCCTTTCTCCATAGGGCTCAAATCAGTTATTTAGGTCAGCCAGGATGCCGTCCCATCCACTTGAAGCTTATTTGGTCAAGCTTTTCTCCTCCAGTCAAAACCTTTCATTCGGATGACTTCCTGACATTCTTCATAGTGAGTTTATCAGTTATGTCCAGGCACATCTGACTCCCAATTTAAGTTCACACTGGAATCTCACCTACATTGTGTAAGGAAATTATAGATGAGAGGTGGAAAGATAAATGGATCATCAAACAATGATCCATTCATCCTCCCACCCCCATACATACCGGACTGTAATTCTGGTACCAGTCCTAGTGAGAGAGCCTTTAGCATATGCTCTTCAGGAATTGCTATTTGCTCTGCCACCTTCTTTGGACAGGCTTTCAAGTGAGAATTCAGATAAATCACCAGCTCAGCAGCCTCAGGTGAACCCTACATTTCATGACCTGCCCAGACTTCATGGGGAAGAAACTGCACATTCCAGGGCTCCTTGGATGATGAGATATTGTTCATAACTGTACTGCCACATAATTGCTACTTTACTTCTGAGGAGAGCTGCAGTGTAATTAAAATCATTAAAGGTGCAGAAAATCAATCCTTGGCTACAGAGTTGAGTACAGAGAGACTTTCCAAGTAGCAGCAGCAGCAGCAATCAATCTTCCCACAAGCTCCCAGGGCAATGCATGTGGATAAGGGGTAATTTTGTTGTTATATCCCATCTTCAAGTTTCCCTAGGAAGAGATTTTCAAATAAAGGTACTCATTAACGAAAGAGATGCACTAAGCCCTCAAGTTGTCTGCCTATGGACAGCAAGGAGTAGAGTCAAAAATAAGTTGTGTTCTTTACAAAGAGGGATGAGCTAGAGCAGACTAAATTTGCTGCCGTTATGTTCATTAATGAAGCTAGTTCCACCCAAGGTGTCTAATCTAGAGGAAAGGAGTTCTTCCTGAGTTTAATGCTATTCTCTCTTCATCCACACAAATGGGTCCACATCACTGAATACCAATAACTTTGCCTAGTGAAGCAGGATCAAAGACTTCACTCTAGGAGGTTCATGAATTTCTCCAAATCACCCTCTCTGTCTCTCCCCTCTGCATCCCCCACTTCCCTACCTCCCCACACACACTTGTGTGCTAACACAGTGTCACTGAACTATGAAAGGTTCTAACCTCTACCCTCAAGCCTCCTCCTCTTCCCCCAAACACTCATAGAATGCTTGTTCTGTGCAAGGTACATGCTAGGCTCTAGGACCACAATGAAGTAATAAAACCATGGATCCAGGCCTCAAGATATTTACTGGAGAATTGCATGACGGGGACACAGGTGTCAGCAGAAAATCACATGCTGAGCAACCTGTGGATGATTGAGAAGAATTAAAATGTTGCTACAGGACTTCAAAGCAGAGAGAAGTAGCCATGGAAAAAGGCTTACAGCTTAAGTTATATATTTGAGGAAAGACAGAGCCATGAAGAGCAGGGAATTTCAGGGGCATTGGCAACAAGAGCAATGCTCGGGGCAGAGCAAGGAAGTATGGTGCTGCTCACAGTCTCTGTGCTACACAGAGTCTCTGGCAGCTCTGTGAATGACCAAGGAAGAATGCCAGGAGCGTACTTACCCATCTCATCTTCACGGATTTCAAATTAAATCTTGAAAGCCATTTCATTACCCAAACTAATCTACTTTGTATTCAATGAGCCATAAATAAAAGGGAAGGTAGCAGCTTAAATCATTTTATGTAAGCCATTAACTCATGAATTGCCTCTCTTTTTCTGCTCTGCATGATAACTCAGAGCTTTAGAGTTTACAGGGCCCAAGTGAAGTTACGGTCTTTTTTTCTGGCTTGTGTAACAGAATATCACAGACTGGGTAATTTATAAACAACAGAAGTCTAGTTAGCTCATAGTTCTGGAGTCTGGGAAGTCCAAGAGCACCAGCATCTGCAAGGGTCATCTCATGGCAGAAGGATGGAAGGCACAAGCAAACATGGAAGACACAGAGAGAAAGAAAGCACAAGGGACAGACTCTCTTTTGCAACAACCCACTTTCATGATAACTAACCTGCTCCCATGATACTGACCTCTTATTAGGCCCCACTTCCCAACACTGTTGCATTGAAAATTAAGTTTCCAGCACATTAATTTAGGAGACACACTCAAACTATGTATGCTTTAAGCTATGTGATTCTGGGCAAGTTATTTAACCTCTTCATGCCACAGACTTTGATCTATAAAATGAGGTAAATGATACATCCATTGCAAATATAAGGTGCTGTCTACATAAAGCTTAAGACAGTGCCTGGTCCATGTAGGTGGTTAATAAATAGAGTTTTTATTACTATTGTTACCAGCTTCATTCATATTCTTGACCCTTTCCCACCCAATACATGTCCCAAAAGCCTTATTTCCTTGCCCGCACAAATATGCAAGGGGATGGGGGAATCCTTTGGGAGCAATACTTTCCAATATGGTAGCCGCTAACCACATGTAACTATTTACATTTAAATTCATAAAAAGAAAATAAAATTTCAAACTCAGTTTCTCAGTCAGACTTGCCTTATGTCAAGGACTCAATAGTTACATGAGGCTAAGAACTCCCATATCAGACAGCACAGATATAGAATGTTACCATCATCAGAGGAAGATATATTTGACAGCCTGGCCTAAGAATATTTTTTACTGCAAGCAACAGTAAATCCATCTTACAAGGATTACATAAATGGTTCTTAACCAAGGATAACATTATGCTCCAATATCTGAAGACATTTTTGATGGTGACAAATATGGGGCACTATTCAGAGTGGGTAGAGGCCAGTGATGCTGCTACAATGCACCAGACAGTCCCCCACACAAAGAATTGTTAGCCACAAATGTCAATAGTGTCAAGATTGAGAAACCCTGAAATACACAAATAGAACATATTTTTCTCACGTAGCTAAAAGTTAGGGGCTCACTGCTGCTGACATCAGTGATACAACAGTGCGAGAGCCAACCCTTTGTGATTCTCTTTGCTCTTCCTACGTAATGATAAAGTGGTTGCTATAACTCCAGGAATCACATTCTTTTTCAAGATAGAAAGGAAGAGGAGAGAAACATAGACAACTGTGTCTAGAGCATGTTGGCTGAAATCCCAAACCAAGTTGTGGACTATTACAACAATGGCAAAGGGATTAAAGAGAAATGTTCATCACAAATTTACAAGTCTTCAAGGCCGAGCTCAGTGGCTCATGTCTGTAATCCCAGCACTTCAGGAGGCCAATGCAGTGGATCACCTGAGGTCAGGAGTTCAGGAGCAGCCTGGCCAACATCGTGAAACCCTGTCTCTACTGAAAATACAAAAAGCCAGATGTGGTGGCAGGTGCCTGTAATCCCGGCTACTTGGGAGGCTAAGGCAGGAGAATCGCTTGAATCAGGGAGGTGGAGGAGGTTGCAGTGAGCCGAGATCATGCCACTGCATTCCAGCCTGGGCAACAGAAGTGAAACTCCATCTCAAAAAAAAGAAAGAAAGAGAAAGAAATGTACAAATCTTCCAGAATACTAGCACCATGACCGCCACATACTTTTACAGAGTTCAAAATATTACTCCTATATTTCATATTTAATACTTCTACTCCTGTACTTTAAAAAAAACAACACATACACCTTTAAAAATAGCATGTTTTGGTGATTTTTAACTATCTGACAATTTTTTTGTATGTGTAGCCCTGAGGCCAGAATCTATTAAACTCTTGTACTGTTAAAGACTTTTTACAAGGAAAAGGTCTTAACTTTTCACCAGTAAAGAAAAGCTTTCCAAAAATCCTTCCCCAGGAAATTTTCCCTTATATCTCAAAGGATAGAATTGGGTCATATGGTCATCCCTAGATGTAAAGGAAGCTGGAAAATCAAGGATTTGACTTTCTAACCTTTGTATGAGAAATAGCCAGGGAGAAAAGGTATAAATGACTTTTGCATCTGCCCCAGTATTCACATGGACCATGATCTGACACACAACCCTGAAGTTGTTCATAAAATTAAGGGACACCTGTAGATCACAAATGTCCATCATGCTATGGTATCTTCAAAATGTGAAAGATCACTTTAAGGAACTCTTTACAGTGTTTTCAGATTGCTTTAAAGACATAGGTCTCTTATTTTGAGACTCTGTGATATAAAGTGAATCGTTTTTTCTCTTTTGCCTCTAAGAACACTGGGCTTTAGCAAAGTTTAATGGCCAAGTGGCAAGCCACACAGGAAAGAAAGAACTGAAAACCAGGTTACACTGTATTTAGTCCAGCCCTTTTTCTTTTGGAATCTCAAACATTTGTTAAGTGTGCCTCAAGTTTTCAATTCCTTCAATAATAGCTAATAATGAGGCTCAGGCCATTGAAGCTGCTTGCCCAGGGGTTGTACAGTTAGTACTAAGTATGATATCAGCCTCAACCTTTCTCTGCTGCAGAATCACCATAAATCACATGGTCCTCCTGTGCCCCTGCCCCCAAACCATGCAGTAGATCCACAAGGCTGATAGAAAAAAAGCTAAATGAATTAGTGTGGTATTCAAGACTCTCCATCACCTGGTGTCAAGCCAATTTTCCAACCAAATTCCCAACCAACCCTGCATCTCCCCAACAGCCCCCTCCCCCACAACCCACCATACACACTTCCTGTAGCTCTGTCAGATAACTCCGTGTCACTAGAATGGTCAAATGCCATTCCCCTACCCCTTCTCTATGTGTTAAAATATGCTCAGCTTAAAAGCCACCTCCTCTTGGAAGCTTCCAAGATAAGTTAGTCTCTTTGCTTTTTATGCCCTGACCTCACTGTTTGTGACTGTCTAGAGAAGTGCTTCTCAAATTTTAACAGGCATATGAATCACTAGCTCTGAGTTGGGTCTGACAGTCTACATTGCTAATAAGCTCCCATGTGATGTGACACTGATGCTCTACAGCATATTTCATATTCTACCCCATAGTGGGGTTAATAATGGCCATGCCTAGCTCCCCTTATGTGATTACAACCTTCCTGAGGCAAGAACCGTAGGATAGACCCTTAAACCCTAATGAGGCACCTGGAACATAAATAAGTGCCTAAAATTGACTGCCAATTAGAAATAAAACTGCAGAACAATTCATTCTTCCATCCAATTTTTACTCATCATCAGATGTAAATCGTTTCATAGTTTGAGACAGGCATAAAATAGATACTAATGAAATTAAAGGTTCATTTTCCAATAATCTGATAACTCTTGCTTGAAGTAGACCCTTGACAAACAATGAATGAATGAAAGTGAATGAAATTTAGTTGCTCCGAGCAGGACTCAAATCTTTTGGGCTGAGTCTGGTTCCTTGGACTGTAAGCCAAAGTCATGGTGATTTCTTCTTCCCTACAGGCATCTCCAGCTGCCCTGGCAAAGAGCGTGTTGGCTGAAGTCCCAAACCAAGTTGTGGACTATTACAATGGCAAAGGAATTAAACCAAAATGTTCATCAGAAATGTATGATTCTTCCAGAACACTAGCACCATGAACTCCCACACAGTTTTACAGAGTTCTGAAATACTACTCCTGCTAATATTTCATATTTAATAATTCTATACTTTAAAAAGAAAACAACACATACACATTTAAAAATAGCACGTTTTGGTGATTTTTAACTATCTGACATTTTTTTTTTTTGCATGTGTAGCCCTGAGGCCTGGATCTGTTAAACCCTTGTATGGTTAAATTTTTACAAAGAAATACAGATAATAATAACTTACTATTTACATTACAGCATGTCGCCTTGAAATATAATGGTATCTGTATCCATTTTTTATACAGGTTTGTTGAAATTTTGCTAAATTTCTTATCTTTACACTCTAAAGCATTTTGAAACATTTATTGAATGTTGATAGCCAAAATATACTTGGTTTTATCTGCTATAGGATGAGAGACTTTTTAAAATGGCAGATGCATGGATTGTATTTTGCATGTTTAAAATAAAAAAAGAAAAACCCACACTGTTTTTGCAGTTGTTATCTCTAATTCCTCCCTACTGAGAATGGTCTGTCTACTAAAGAAGAGGTTTATACACCTCTTCTTTTTGAGGTGGGTCTCTTTGAAGTAGGTCTGAGTCATCTGGCCCAGTACCTCTCACACGTTACTGTGCACACAAATCACCTGACAGTCTTTTTAAAATTCAGATTGTGATCCAGTAAGTCTCTGTGGGGCTCAAGATTTTGCATCTTTAGCAAAGTCCCAGGTGATGTTAATGCAGTCCCTGGACTACATCAAGAGGAGTGAGGTTCTAGACTTTAGGGTGTCATGATGGAGACTATCAAAACCAGGGCAGCTTCTAGTCTGCTTGAAAACGGCACCTCTTCCTGACGGTAGCATAAAAGTCCTGCCTGTCTCCGAGGTGGTAGAAAGTAGTAAGACTGACTCCAGAAGCTGCACACCTCACATCAGTCTCTCTGCTTTATACTCACACCACTTCCCTAGACAAGACTAGAAAGGGCTTGCTCTTCCTGGCCAGTGTCTGCCCTCTTCAAAGTGGCATCACACACCACTGCATGGATGGTGTCAATCCATAGAAGTGACCTCAAAGAGTCTTCACTGGAACCACAACAATAGAAACTTACCCATGGCAAATGGCCATGCAGTACATCTCCCGACATCTGGTCCATTATGTTGACCTTTGAGCTTAGTGTGGGAACTTCTTTCTCCTTTCTATCACTTCTGAGAGCAAACTCTATCAGCAGAAATCCCTGGAATTATTGTTTGGGGTGGAGGTGTTTTGTTTCAATATAATAAGCTGGCCAGTCTGGAGCCAAAAGAATGAATGTTTAACTTGTATGATCTTCTTGCAGAGAAACAGACAAGTGTTTTTGCAAGCATAAATGGCAAAAAGTGGAATATATTTTTGGTCAGAGAGATGAATAAGTAAATCATGAGGCAAAATTTGTTGTTTGTTTGAAGGGGGGAGCAGTATTAACAAGCAAATAAAATGCCTTGTATGATTTCCATAGTTGCAATTATAGAACCTAATCTTGCAAATACATGTTAAGCAAAAGCACAACATTTTGAGAATGATGGTTTAATTGTATAACTGAAAAACATCATAAATATTTAAATGATATTGTTTTATTAATAAATTGGGTACTTACAGAATTCTTCTAAGAGTTGTGGTCTTGTTTCTCTTTTCAAGGCAACTTCATAACAGTAATTTATTTTATGTAGATAATGTGGTCTCAGATTAGAAGTAGCTCTTTCATAGTCCAGTGGAAACATGGATTGCTGCTTCTAATAAACAAGAAATTAAAATATTTAGGAACTATATTACAGAAATATCTGGCGATTATTTCTATTCCCAAACCAAGACATGAACTTCCATGTCTATGTACCTGGAACATAGTGAATGCTCAATAGACATTTAATAAATACAGAGATGACTAATAAATGAATGAATGAATAGACTTGTTGATATGCCTTATGATCAATCTTTAATCCATTGTAGATTTAACAGGTAAGTTCAGTGTCGTATCTATCAATCAAATGATGCACCATTTTATTCACAAAGATCGACTGGGATTTCTACACTCACATCAGGATTCCTGGAGTCTGTGAGATGCGGCGGAGAGAATAGAGTGTGGATGGCCTGGCAGAACCTTAAGGCAGTTTACTTTCCTTTTCACAGTTCATCTCAAAAGAATAGTAAAAACAATACCTACGAGTTATTGAAGGGTGTCTTTTCAGGTCAAGTTGCTATAACAAAATGCCATAAACTGGGTAGATTAAACAACAGAAATTTACTTTTCACAGTTCTGAAGTCTGGCGAGTCCAAGAAAAGTACAAGTCAATTTGGCTCCAGGGCTCACTTCTGGCTTGGAGATAGCCACTTCTTACTATGTCCTATCATGATAGAGAGAGCGAGTTGGCTTTCTGGTCTCTTCTTATAAGGGCACTAATCTCCTCACAAGGATCCCACCCTCATGATCTCATCTAAGTCTAATTATCTCCAAAAGTCCCCACCTCTTCATACTATCACATTGAGATGTAGGCCTTCATGTATAAATTTTGGAGAGACACTAATTTTCAGTCCATAACAAAAGGTTACCGTGTGCCAGGCACTGTTCTAAGTGCTTGTCATGTACTATCTCATTTATTCCTCCCAACATCCTTGTGAGCTAGGTAGTATTAATAATCTTACTTTGCAGATGAGGCAGAGGTTGCAGTGAGCTGAGATTGCACCACTGCACTCCAGCCTGGATAATAGAGCAAGACTTGGTCTAAAAAAAAAAGACTACAAGAACCAATCTGTGCAAGTCAAATGAAAAATACCTGGGCTTATGTTGGCTCTGTATGCAAATTTGGAACCACTGAGTTATTTCTGTGTATGGCCTGCTCTCCACTGGGTCTCAAAAGATAATATACACACTTTAAAATTCCTGAAGACCCTAAAGAGGTTTTATTTCTGTGGCTTATATTGATTAATATTTGCTATATTAGGAATTGAAACTGAAAATGTAATATATTTATTAATTTATATAAACAATAATAGACCCATTACATAACATAAATAAAATACTTTCATAACAAACTACATTTTCAAAACCAAAAAATAGTCAGTGAGAAGAGCGGCACTGTTTTACAATGTTTTCGAATCTTCCAGGGTCCTGTTTAATAAAAGATTGCTAGATTCTTATATCTGCTTCTGTATTCAACGTGTTGTGAAAAATGTTTTGGTTGAAGTACAATGTTGGAAACCTGGCCTCACATGGACGTGTAGTTGGAAAGGGGAGAGCTATTTTTAGCTTTTTCTTTTTACCACATCCAAACTCAAAAAGTGGTAGTGTTTTAAAGGATAGTTGCAGTGTAGAATATGAAATCTTATCAATAAAACTGTCCTAGCATTTTCAATGGTTCTTTTACCCATGCATGGCTTTGTAGCATCATGCACTGATCACTGAGAAATATTGATCCACTCAGCTATTTAGAGGTTCCAAATGCTTGCACAGTTTGTTTTATAATATCAAAAAACCCCTACATTTTCTATTGCTATACAGTATCACTGCTGATTTCACCAGACAATCTTTAAGTATGGAAAATCTGTCAAATTATGGTGGCAGGTTCAGGCTTTCCAAATCTCTCATCTTTGCTAGAAAGCTCAAATGTCATCATTGCCAATAAATGCTGTCAGTTGTTTTTCCCGAAGTGACAAGCTAACTTCGATCATTTTTAAGAAAATATCTCCCAAGTCTGAATAACTCTGGTTTATCTGTCAGTCTCTTTACAAGTAAAAATGATGTTCTATGAGAAAGAAAAGCAGCTAAATCAGCTCCAAACACAGTGGCATGTGTGTTTTTCCTTGAGGCAACCATTTTAGGTTAAATGCAGCAAAAGCACTTTCTGGTGCTTTGCAATTGGTCTCCCAGCATTTGAGACGTGGACTCACAGGTCAAGATTTAATAAAAATGATAATTTTCCTACTGCATCAGGAACATTGTTAAGTGAAACTATGTTTTTTCTTCAAGTGTGTGATGGTAAAAAATTCAGGGAACACTAGTATCATGTGGTGCCACTTTCTTGATGTGAGCTATGGCCCCAACGGTTTTACCCACCATCGCTTTTGCACCCCTCATGCAAATGTCAATATAGCGAAAAAGATGAACAACATTTTAATGTTATTATGAAAATAGTTTTTACCTCACAGACTCCCTGAAAGGGTCTCAGGAATCTCAGTCTGAGAACTGCTTTCCATAGGCTACTTGCCAAAGTTGTATTTGTTTGCTATTTCTGCATAACACATCCACAAACTTAGTGTTTAAAACAACACATATTATCTCAGTGTTTCTATAGGTCAGAAATTCAAGAAGACTTAGGTCCATCCTCAGCTTAAAGTCTTACAAGGCTAAAATCAAGGTGTCAATGGGGTTGTGTTCCTTACTAGATGGCTCCAGCAAGAATCTGCCAAGCTCACTTGGGTTGTTGGTTGCAGTTGTAAAACTGAAGAAGTCCCTGTTTTCTTGCTGGCGATCAGCTGAGCAAGGAAGTAGTGGGGAGGGCAGTGTCAGGGATGGTGGGGTGGGAGCAGACACAATCTTGACTCTGAAAGGCTTCTCATGTTCCATCTTATGCTCTCCATGTGGCCCTCTCCAGCACTGGTGTGTCCTCCTCAAACACTGAATCTAATTTCTTTTTCTGCTGTATTTCACTGACTCCAGCCAAAGAAAGTTTTCTGCTTTCAAGGGTTTATGATTAGATTGGCCAACCCAGACGATCCAAGATCCTAAGCTCTATAGCAGTAATTACATTGCCAAAGTCATAACCCCCTAAACAGAACACGTTTATGGGTTCCAGGGACTAGGGCTTGGACTTATTTGGGGGCCCATTCTGCCTACCACAAAAGAAATGCAAAACATTACTAGATGATTCTTAAAGTAAATGTGGGCTGTTCAAGAACTGTAAAAAGGCTTCCCATGGAAATAGAAGAAAAATATAGACCAAGTCAAGGAGTGGTGTTAAAAATACCTGCTGATTCTAGACCTTGCCCAGGAGAGCTTATTCTAAATCTGCTTGAATACCTCCCTTTTTTCAGTCTACACAGCACTTGTTAAGCAACAACCTTGCTTGCACTGACCTCGTGGGTGAGAAATGGGGGATGCGAGTTAGAGAGGCAGAGATAAAAAAAATATAGTCCCTACTCCTGGAGGAGCTCACAGCCTAGAGCTGCCCTCTGATCCTAGGACTTTGGGATCCCATTAGACATACATGCCTGAACAATTAAGACATTTACTATCTGAGGGCTTTCTCATGAAGATATTCTCCAACACTGAGAATAGAGTAGTGGTGTAGGAAGAGCGGTAAGGACACAGGTGAGAACAATCAAGCCAGTCAACTATTTTTTTCATCATTTCCTGCCTTGCCCTCCACGTGAAATAGACAAATTCATCCTTAAAAGCATTCTGCTTTTCAATTCTGTCTAGACTCAGTGCCTTCCTCTTGAGCATAGTACAGTGAAAGTACCTGGTGTTTTCAAGCCAAAGCAACAAGAATTCAAATTCAATCTCTGCTACTTAAGAGTGGGATGATATCTCTGAGCCTCAACTTTCCCATCTGTAGAATAGGGAGAACAATTCCTACTTTGATAGATTGCTACAATTTGAGAACTGAAGATGTTTGCAAGCACCTTAGAACTGTATCTGGAGGTTGGATTCCCTGAAAAGTAAACTCTAAGATCAAAATTAGAAGGTGGTAGACTATTAAGGGAGTATTATCAGGCTTGTGAACTGCAGAAGGAAAGGGAACGTGAGACTGTGATCCCATAGGAAACTTTGCAGAGGGCAGCCCTTTGAATTGATCCCCAAGGGCCTGGCCTTTAAATTCCATCACAGATAAAGCCAGCAGATGCCTCAAAAGAAGCGTTGGTTTTGATCAAAACATCTCTTTTCAACTAAGGAAATTTCAGAAATGTTGAGCTTCTGGGTCTCAGCAAGAATAAATTCTGAATCCTGAAGGGGAGATCTGGGTTGCAAAGCACAGCATCTATGACACCTGGCGTTTGGCACAGTCCTCAATATATTGTGACCTTTGCTATTATTGCCATCATTTTTAACTTGTTTGTATAGCCACTGTTCCTGACTTATTCTAACCCTATCCCCTCTTGTCTAGGAGGTAAAAGATTTTCCTAACTGGTTTCTGTAATCCACATTCATACTTCCGCCACAGCGGTAGTTATGAAATAAATCTGAGCATCTCATTGCCCTGCCTAAAATACTTCAGTGGCTCCCCACCAACTTCAGAATGAAATCTTAACTTTTGAATATGACCTTGAACATAACATGCATCTGACTTTCATCATGATCCCTGCACAGTTTTTCGGCCTACTTCTAGCCACCCCAACCCACCCTACACTGCTCATAAACTCTTCCCATTGGCTTGTTGAAGCTTCCCCATCCCACCCCTTCACCCAGTTAATGTCTACTTACCTTGGAAGACGCAGCTCACATGTTAATTACTCTCAGAAGCCCTCCTAGGCCTGGAGCAGTGGCTCATGCCTATAATCCCAGCACTCTGGGAGGCCAAGGCAGGCAGATCACCTGAGGGCAGGAGATCGAGACCAGCCTGGCCAACATGATGAAACCCCGCCTCTACTAAAAAATACAAAAATT